TATTTGTAAGATTCTACTTATCAATGATCACTTTATATTATATTTCTTTTATCTTATAAATTAGTTGCATTAAGGGTTTTTTTTTTTTTTTTTTTTTTTTTTCTATTATTTTAGATAATAATAACACCACATAAAATTTTAATCCTTGAATTTATTATTTAAATCATTTCATGAGTAATTTAGTTGAATTATGTTAATTGTAAACTTTTCATTTTACCAACCGTTATTCATTTTTAATTTAAATTTAGAATGCAAACTTAATTACAAAGTGTATTTAAAATTTAAACTTTAAAATTCTTTTGAAGTAATCTTAATTTTTATAATTATTTATGCTTATATATAAATAAATGTTAAAATGATCTACCTATTTACTAAATATACCCATCTTATTATAACCATGATTAAAATATGATCCCCCTTGTTCTCAGCCCATGCTTCCTATGTCCTTGGTCTTCTTCATCTGTTCTGCTTCCCATGTTTCCAATTCTTATTCCAACCTCCATTGTTTCCCACAATAGATTGGATTGATTTAGTGAATGGATGGATCATTTAAACATCTCTCTCTTTCTATATATATATATATATATATATATATTTATATATAATTTTTTATAATATTAATTAACTAATTTCAAGATATAAGATAGTCTATAAAATTAAAATTTATTGGATAGATTAATTTATCTAATTTTTTTCAATTCTAAATTATTTTATCATTTTTTTAAGTTTTAAAATTTTGGAAATTATCAATTTTTTTTGGATAAATATAAAAAATACAAAAATTATACTTTTTAATTACTATCTTAATAAAAAAAAGTAAAAGCTAGATTTTGATATATATATACACATACAAAAAAATTAAGTAATGTTTTAATTTATTGTTTTATATTTTAATATTCTACAAAGACTCCATTTATCTTGTTTAACGATGTTTTTTTACTACTAATATATGCTTGTTAATTTTAAGATTTTTATATAAACTATTTTTTAATTAATAAAAATTAAACTATAATTATTTAAATTTCTATATACTAAATTTTACTATGCAACATGTATAAACAAATACTAATCTAAAAGAGTTGATAAATTATTCTCTTTGTTAATTTTTTTAAAAGCCTAAAAATGTAATTTTTTCATTGTTAAATACCTCATTTGTCTTTGAATCTAACCATTATATGTTAAATAATATTTAACTACATATAAAATTTATATCGATTAAGGTTTTATTTAAGTTGAAATATAATTACAAATTTTTGTAGTATTATAGATGGTATATTGACTATAGTAATTAACATATAATAAAAAAACAGTGTAGATTTCTAAGTTGTGGGGTTTACATTAATTTGTGTGTAGCTAGGTTAGCTTGCTACAATATGTGATGGATAACTATCTCTGTAACAATTACTACTATGGCATATATATTGCCTTTCATTTGGTTGCATAGAGTGACACTTTGCAATACAACATCTTGACTTCTCTTCATGGTTGCAATTTGTAGTGTTATTGTCTTTATTACAGTAAAATTTTGAAGAGGACTTTAGTAATATTACAATTGATTTAAACAATATATTCTCCATCTATACTATTTAGAAATGTTTGTAAATTGTATGGCTTATCAAAAAGTATAATACACACTAGTACATATGAATCTTGTAAAAAACCAATATTCACAAATAATATGATCCACACTAATTACTATAGCTGGTGTAGTAAAATTTAAGTTACTACTTTACTTTTACAGTTTAAATTATTATATGATAATTTTAAACTAATTTTATATACACATTTTTTTAAAAAATATATTTTGAAATATTTTTAAAAATTCTTGTAGACATCTCATTGGTATATTTTTAAAAATTCTTGCTAAAAATTATTAATTTATCTAATTTTTAAACTTATAAATAGATTTAAATATCTAATGCTATATATATAAGTTATATACTTTATGGATTACTAAAAAAAAAGTACTTTTATTCAATGGTAAAACATTGGTATTTTGTAATTCAAAATATTCTTATTTTAATTTATATATAATATATTCATCAATATGTTTAATGCAAATGACAACTCATTGAACTTTTGTAGTTTTTGGTATATAGATTTTATAAGTTTTAGTAAAATAACATATGATTCTTTTTTATTCCTTTTTGTTACTATGTTTTTCAAAAATCTTAGTATATGTATATATATATATATATATATATGTATATCACTTGATTAATATTAATATATCATTAATAAAAATTAAACTATCAATTTTTATTTTTTATTTTTTATTAAACAATGTGCTCTAACAAAACCAAGTAAAAGGTTATATGTAGATATAATCTTTAACAAGGGTATTTTAAAATTATTTATCAAATCAAGACGTGTTATAGTTGATGTTGGAATTCCAGTTCAAGTAACCATTTTATACTTCTAAATTGATAGAGTATGTATACTTACATCAAAGCACTTTAGTCTAAAGTCAAAATTGTTTCTCTTTGTCACCATAGCTATAAGAATATAAGAATATTCGGAGCAAACAATAGAACTTTTTCAGTAACAAACAATAGATAGATGACATCATAAAATGCAATTAAATAAATATTCTTTATATATATATATATATATATACATAAGCCTTGTATAAATATTAAATATATACTTAAATAAATGATTAAATGGAAAATACTTACATTCTAAACTATTTTACAGAAGTTAATTAATATTGAGGTAATGCTTAGACATTGAATGTATGTATAATTTTGAAGCACATCCAGGGCTAACATTACACAAAATTATTGTTAAAATTTTAATTGTTATAGAAAGTTGTAAAAATTGTAAGAAACTTGAGAAGCATTGAATTACGTTATATTATTAGTATATGAAAATATTAATTGGGATTTTTTACTTCTTTTTATAAACATACATTCTAGAATTTTAAAAATAACATAACTGACAAAACTCACTTGTGGTTGTCACATTCAAAATATGATGGACATGACAGCTATTCTTTCCATGATTTTACTACATATGTATCAAAACCAAAAATCAACTTATCTGTGAAGGTATTATACATGGCATGTTCTACTTTCTCTCCTTTTCTCCTCAATAGTTGTGAAGCAAGTGAACTATCTTTTACCAAAACGTTTAATGCATGAGAAGCAAGTCAAAATCCTCAAAAGGAATGATAAAAATTATCAAATCAAGCCTGTCCCATTTCACAACACAATGGAATGCAAACAAAAAAAAGATACTAGCATTATGTTACCAAAATCTTAGTAAAAGTTGATCTTTTGTGCATGTATGTATGTATGTATGTATGTATGTATACATATACACACACATACACTCAATGTTTTGAACTAGGCAACAAAAATGGAATGGTTAAATAAACTATTTAGAAGACACAAAACAGACTTCATACAAATTTGGGTGCAATCATAAATAATGTGGATACAGAAGAATTAGTTGGCGATCCAACGTGGCAGCTGGTAGAGTAGTTGCAAAAGCATACCCAATTCATATTTATTAGGTTTTGATGATTGTCTTTCATGTGGCATGTTATCATTACAATTCTCTTGCAGTTCAAAAGAAGTATATATAAATGAATGAGATAATTGGCATTTAGGACTTGGGAGAACTTGTAATATAAGTAGTAATAATCTTAGTATAAAAGGAATTGAGGATAATTCCTTGTTTAGGAATGGTTAATAATACTACCAATAATAATAATAATACCATGAAACGTGTTATGACATTGAAAAAAATAGTGTATCCTATCATCCATGAAATGTAGTGAGGATTACCATTTGCCGATTAATATAAACAGTCTCTTAACAAATCCCCTAACATTAGTTACAAACTTCTTGCAATATCCACCACAGGTGCAATTGGCATTACGTTTACAACAACAAGTATTTTGTTTTATTTTATTTATATATTTTTTATATTGTCTACAACAAACGAATTGCATTGCAAAAACATAGATGCCAATTGGCATAATGGACCAATGTTGCTAGATTAAAGGACCAGTCCCACATGAGAACTTTTTATAGGTTACAATGAACTTTTTCCACCTTCGAATTAACAACTACGGAATGATTCGTTTTCCGTTTTCTTATATTCTTACATGCTTGCATGCACATAACTATATATATACATATATATTAACAAACATACATGTACATATATATACCATTGCCGGTGCGTTTGAAACAAAAAAGGCTTGGTTTCTCAAACCCTAATTCCGTCCATCACCAGGCACAAAATTAGCATTCCCATACTTCAGAAAGCGAAACCCACAAGTCACTTTTGTACAGAAGCCAGAGAGAGTACAAATATACCATAACAGTATAATAATACCGTTATACGGATACATTCCCACAGCGTTTTATTATACAACACCACAAGAAGAAGACGAAGAAGAAGAAGAAAAGTCTTCGAAATTCCTTCCATTAAAAGGAAGACGGAGTCATACATATTCGGATTGGTAGCCATCTACAGTCTCTCCCGCACTGTAGAAGTCTTTTAATAACCTCACCCAAATAGGACCCCTCCCACTCTATGCTATGTTACGTATATAGACACCAAACCCTCCCTCCTTTTAATAGCCTAACTGGTGACAGTCTCCGGTGGATAATATACTGAAAATCTAACCAGGAATTGCGAGTAAGCCAAAGGGGACTTTCCTGTCCCAGCCGCCACTCGAACCTATGACTTTAACACAGCAAAATTATATTGCCCATTTTTCTTTTTATTCGATTTTTATTCAATTTTGAATTTCCATGCCGGCATGACCGCCGAGGCGATGAAGAGGCTCGTCGCTGACGGATGAATGAATGAGTGAATAGAGGGATGAGTTGTTGAAATGTAGATGGATGGATGTATGGATGGATGTTGGAGCGGGGTGCCTGCGTGCGTCCGTCCGTCCGTCCGTCCGTGAGCGCGGATGAGGAAGAAAGACTCTTCAAATATTTCCGTCGCGGCATTTTCTTCGGTTCCAATCCTCCTTTGGATTTCTATTACATATATATAAATATAAATATGTATATGTAGATTGTTTTTGTTGTTTTTGTTGTTGTTATTATTTTTTTATTGATATTTTTGCTTTTGCTTTTATGAGCCTGGCTATGGAGTTGTTCCTTGTCTGTAGCTTGTAGATGCTGTTTAGCGGCGTGAGCGGCTGGCTGCTGGAAGTAGGGGGGGGGGGGCTTGTGTGTGAGAAGTGGATCAGCAACAGCTGAGGAGCAGGAGAAGGAGGTGGAGGAGGAGGAAGAGCCGTGGAGGTAGCAGGGAGGTGATGACCACTGATGTGGTGAAGAAGAAGAAGAAGAAGACCAGAGGGAGGAAGGGAGGGAGGGAGAGGAGAGAAAGAGAGGAGAGGAGAGGAGAGTGAGAGAAGAAGATAGGTGGAGGAATCATGGCGTCGTAAATTAGTTTTCCAGACAGACATTTAACAGTAACGGAATTCTCGAATAGGCGCAGGGGAGCAGTCTCCTGGTCCTTGTCTTGATTGCGCCTCGTCTGATCGGTGGTGAATCATTCGTAGAATTGTTTAGGCTTTGGAGGCTTGCAACAAGGGAGATAATGGCGCAAGTGCTGACTGGTTGTAAGTAAGGGCGGGGACTGTGGGAGACTGGTGTGAAGACGATGAGCTGATAAGTGAGGAAGTGATAGAGTAATGGAGTGAGGGAGAGTGAGAGGAAAAAGGAGAGCTCAGGTTTGCAGAGTTTTAAGGGGGCGAGGAGGCTTTTCCGGTGTGTGTGTGTGTGTGTGTGCGTGTGTGCGTGTGTTTTTTTTTTTTTTTTTTTTTTTTTTTTTCTGAAAGAGTGCCGAAAATGGCGCAGTTCGCGCTCAAATTTTCGTCTGCCAAGGGGTGCTGCGTGGTGTTTTGGAGTTCAGGATTTTGTTGTAGATCGTAATATCTACTGTGGATCTTTGACCAGGAGGTGGATTTTGGAACTCCATGTGCGTGTGTCCAAGGGCTTCGACATTAGTGTTGCGAGTGCTTCTTACAGTGGACGCTTTGACTTAAGGGATCTATGGTTAGGTCGAGTTCGAGTCTACGAAGGAGCAGATTTGGAAGAGAGCGATAGAATTGTCGCGACGAAGTTACAGCTCCTTCCTGCAGTTTCGATCGGTAGGCTGTAGGAGTCTAACTTTATTTCTGTCAAATTTTGTCACAGCCTGGCCTGTGACCTTAGGGAGGTAAGAAGCTTTGAAACGGAGGGACGAAAGAATCACAGGTCGAGTGTTTTTCTTTTCACATACCGTAGGGGAACAGAAGTGGGGGTATGCCTGGTCATACGTTAAGTTTGCTACAAGCTGAACCAGAGTGGAATGCGTATACCTTAGTCTTTAAGCGACGACAGAACGAAAGTTCTTTATCATTCCTACTGGACTCAGTGACTGCGATGCGATGCTAACCTCCAGGAGTGCGTGCATCCTGTAAGTACTACGGCCAGCTTGAAGGTAACTAGAAGGCCCCTGTGGATTATGAAAGACGACCTCAGCGACTGTATATTGTCAAGTCGAAGAAAAAACTTTCAGTGTATGAGGAAGTAGTTGAACAGTTAAAAGTATTGGGATTAATCCAATGCAGACATTGTTGTTCAGGAAAAGGGATGGAGCACTGAATGAGGCACTGGTAGACATGCTCGTTTTGTCCAAGAGAAGACGTCAAAATCCTGCGACTCGGATCTTTAGTTACGCATGCGTTCCAGGTTCCTCTCTCAATATAGTGCCGACCCTACAAAAGAATTTTTCGGCATCTCGCGATGTACTCCAGTTCCCCAGCCAGGCTCTCCGCCTCGGGCTACGGTCCGGCTACCATGGACCCTGGTAATATTACTTCTGTCCTCTTTATTCTGTTTCTAATTTCATAGCAGCTAAGCTGGCCGACTATGTGGCTGATATACAGTGTTTCATTTTTGTCTCCACCTCTCCACAACGCCAAGATCTTCGTTTTCGATCACTCACCGTGGATTCTGAAGTTTCTGTACACCCCAAAATCCTCTATGAGAGTATGGTTATGATGTTTCTTGACTTCTGGCCTCAAAATGGAAAGCTCTGTAGACTAGTGTTCACTCACAGGACTTTCTCATCATGGAAGATGGTATCTGTTAATCACTGGTGAAGTCTGCTGCTTGCGTGCAGTCTCTCTCTCTCTCTCTCTCTCTCTCTCTCTCGCTCTCTCTCTTATTGTATGTGTGTAAGTGAGAAATATATATATATATATATATTGACACACACGCACACGCACACGCACACGCACACGCACATATATATACACACACATGCACTCAGAGATGGGGCGAACTCTCCAACTAATATCAATGACCTAATCAATATTGGGTAAGTGTTTCGCAGGAGAGAGACGAAGTCTCAATTCTGAGCTGTGGCACGCATGTGCTGGGCCATTAGTGTCTTTACCCCCCGTTGGCAGCCGTGTGGTGTATTTTCCGCAAGGCCATATTGAGCAGGTACGTTGAGATCTATAATTTTTGTCGAATTATGTAGTTTAGATGCCATTTAAAAAATAATATTCTGGTGGCTAGTTGTGTATACAATTGTACATTTCATGGATTCAATTTCCTTGAGAATTTTCTGATAGTGTGATCATATCTTTGAGAATCCTCTCATCCACACTCCCTTGGCAGTTTGCTGTTTGTTAATAGTGAACTCCCATATGTAACTGATCTGATTATTTTGGAATGCTGCAAGGTTGCTGCATCAACACAGAAGGATGCTGACGCGCACATTCCCAATTACCCGAGTCTCCCCTCGAAAATTATTTGCTTACTTGACAATGTCACACTTCATGTACGTGTTGTGCGATGGAAGATGCATCATGCCTCTTTTAGGCTTGTGAGCTAGATTCAATTAGTTATCATAGTCTGAGAAATTCGAGTTTGCATTCTACAATGTAAATTCGTGAGTTTTGGCTGCAAGCCATTTTGCATCAACATCGATCCTGTGCTGCATCACTCTTTGTTATATACTTGGATTTTCCTCCGTTGCACTGGAGCTATCACATCGTAACAGTGGCTTCCAATTTCTTGCTAGTCCTCTTACCGTATCTTAGCTCTTAACGTTTCACACAGCTAAAAATGTGACACAAGATTTTGGCCAAAAGTTGTATTCACTGCCACAAAACTTCGAATTTCTTGAATGGAATTGGAACCCCATTCGTAAAATTCAATATTTTTCACTAGTAGACGCAATTTTGGCCTAATTTCATATGTTACATCTCAGCTGTGTCAGAAGAGAATGTCAATAGGTAAGGTGACTCCTGCTGATCGAAGCTTTTTTGTTGCAGGCTGACCCTGAAACTGATGAAGTCTATGCTCAAATGATTCTGCTTCCTATTCAGATATCTGTAAGCTGCTAAAACAGTGTCTTCATCCGGCCTGATTAAGAGTATCTATTGCTGTGCACGTTTTGTTCTTTGGTCTTTGAACATCCCGGGGGCGAGGAATTTAATTCACATCAACTGGTCTCTTCGTTTTGCAGGAGAAAGAAGCTTTGTTGTCTCCAGATTTGGAAGTAGTCAACAAGCAGCCGACAGAATATTTTTGCAAGACCTTAACTGCCAGTGACACTAGTACTCATGGCGGCTTCTCCATTCCACGGCGTGCTGCTGAGAAAGTTTTCCCACCCTTGGTATGCTTCTTCCCCTGAAGACTAGCACTGATGGATTTTAGTCTATAGATTTGTGATTGACCTGTAATATGTTGGATCGATTGAGACGACATGCTGACTCTCTTTGGTAGTATGATAGAAACCTGGTATGATTGTGTCATATTGAAATGATCACCTGCAGTATTTCTTAGTTTAATTTGATCGTCTGCATTTTCTGGAGAGCTGAGAAGAGTACTAGGTTGTAAGCTTGTATTATGATACTTTCAGGATTTTACACGGGTTCCTCCAGCCCAAGAACTTGTTGCACGGGATCTTCACGATCAGGAATGGCATTTTCGTCATATTTACAGAGGTGAAACTACAACTTTCTTGGTCCATGTGAATTAAATTCAATGTCTATTATTTATTTCATTCACACCAAATGAACATTAAATCCCTTCATGATCATCAAATTATTTCAGAATTATGCTTATGTCATTCCGCCTAGAGGAATATTCCATCGGTATAATTTTGCGATTAAGGAATGGAGAGGAAAATGTTTTCTGTTGGTCCTCGCAATAGTAAATCAAAGTCATCCTTTTAGCAGCCGGCTGTGTGACCGTGAGTCCTATCCAAGTGGACAATTGAATTTTCATCAACAGATTATATCGTAATGTTTCCAACTTTGCTGATATTTAACAATCAAACGCTTTCGTTTGTTCTTTGTACAGGTCAACCTCGTAGGCATCTTCTCACTACTGGGTGGAGTGTATTTGTCAGTGCTAAGAGATTGCAAGCAGGTGACTCGGTATTGTTTATAAGGTATATCGAACGTCGGGTGTTAGTGACAGTAATAGGTTGATAAAAGATTCTGTTTCTTTTCCGATATATATATATATATATATATATATATATATTTCTTAGGCATACTGTCGGGATAACCATGCAATGTGCACTTTTGATTCATACCTGTTTTAGTGGAAGATAGTATTGGTTCCTGATTAGGATTGGTATGCTTATTTGTGTGTGCATCTAAGTCTGTTATGGAACTTGCTCTGTCTTTCAGAGATGATAAAGGCAATCTCTTGTTGGGCATAAGGCGGGCGAACAGGCAACAAACGGTCATGCCGTCTTCAGTACTATCAAGTGATAGCATGCACTTCGGGGTCCTTGCAGCTGCCAGTCATGCTGCAGCTACGAGCAGTCGCTTTAAAATTTTCTACAACCCAAGGTGTTCATGCCAATTCTTTGCGTTTGGGAGCTTGTTTTCGTATAATCTGTCACGATATTGAAATAAGAAGATTGAATTTTTTTTTGATTAGGTAGTATGCTTACGAAGTCTCACCTTTGCAGGCAAAGTCCATCTGAGTTTGTCATTCCTCTAACAAAATACCACAAGGCTTTATATAACACTCAATTCACAGTGGGCATGCGCTTCCGAATGGTGTTTGAAACCGAGGAATCGAGTGTAAGAAGGTATGAGGCATCACTTTAATTGGATGATCATGCAATAGATAATTACAGATGTGAGTGCCAGCTTCTTTATCTATTACTTATTTGAATGGTTTTTGCATTTCTTTCGTTGACGGCTGAGTTGTAGTAAATCTCAATTCCGTGTTGGCTTTTAATTTGTCAGGTATGTGGGCACGATTACTGGTTTAGGGGATCTCGATCCTATTAGATGGCCCAAATCACATTGGCGTTCACTCAAGGTGTGTCTTTATAAGTCCGAATCATGAAACTTATATTAGTCTTCATTGTTTTCATTTCTAGGTGTTTGGCTCGTGCACTAATAGTGTCTTATTACGAATTTGCTACGTAGGTTGGATGGGATGAATCTACGGCTGGTGAAAGGCAGCACAGAGTGTCTCTTTGGGAGATTGAACCCTTGACTACGCCGTTTCTGCTCTGCCCTCCTCCCCTTGCTTTGAGATCGAAGCGTCCTCGGGGCATGCCTGGTAAGGGTGTTCAGCTATGAAGCGCACTTGGATGTGTTGCTGAATACATTTTCAAGTGACGATCCACAATTTAGTTACGACGGGGTGAATTCCAGTCTTGAGAAATTCTTAATCATAATTATTGTAATCTTATTTTCTTTCTTTACGTTGGACAAAAATAGGTCGCTTGGTTTTGTGCTCTTGGAGAAACCTTCAGTGTACACTTTTGCTTCAGATGTCTTAGTTTTCTGCTTGCTGAAAATATATGCTTGAAATTCTTTCTATCAGGAGAAGATGATTTGGAGATGTTGATGAAAAAGTCACACATGTGGCCCAACGACAGTGACCCATTGGGATTGCAAAAATTTGGTGGCTTGGCGATGAACACCTCTTGGATGCGACTACCCCAACAGAATGTCGGATCCATGGTACCTTCATCTCAGAATGAGCAGTACCGTGCTCTTGCTGCAGCGGCCTTGCAAGAAATTCGGACTGCAGATTCCTCGAAACAGTTGCTGGCTCAATCACCGCTGTTGTCACAGCTGCATTTTCGTCAGCACCAGTCTCATCCTCAACCTCAGCAACTCATGCAACACATCAATGACGTTCCAGGCCCTCAATTGCAGATGTCCACATGCCAAACACAAACCACAGATTTGGGAAACCCCGCTAGGTCATCAAGTTACAGAGAATCCGACGTGCAGCTGGGTCCTCCCGCTACGACGTCTAATTCCTTCTCCTATCAGGAGATGATGGGAAGGGCTCCAAGTAGTAACCCATTAACCTCTAATGGGGGGCATCAACTCACGAGTATGATGCGAACAAGTCAAAATGGATTGCAGCCCTGCGGGACAATGCAAGAGTTTATTCAGGTACTTGCAATTGCTATAGTAGTCCATGCTGAGTTAGTTCGAGGTTTCTCGGTCACGATGATCTTGCTCAGCCACGTCTTCTTGTTTCTCTGGAAATATTCTGCAGAATGTTTGTTTCAGCTTCATGTGAGCTTGACAGAATGTTTCTTGTCTCTTCTAGATGGGATCCATTAGTAGTAAAACTATCATCAGTTTCAGGCGTTGTGACGATTTCTTATGGCCATTTTCCAAGTAATGAGTTCACATGACGTTCAGCAAGTACCTCAATGCGCATGTGAGAATTTGTTGCTGTCTTACTACATGGTCGATTATTACAGTATCATTTGTATAAACTGTGTGGCAGGGTTCCACGCCCTGGTTTCCAAATCAACCTGATTCTCAATCACTCATCCTATCCCAACACACTCGTGTTGAGGCGCCCAGCGGTGGAGTGCCCGGATCTTTCGCGCTGCCCCAAAACAACGAATCAGCATTGCAAGGTCTGGGACTTCGGCCCCCTCCTGAATTCAGCAACAATAAATAGAACTCAGATTAGGTGCAAGCTGACCGTGGTCACGTGCTTTTTGGTGTGTGTGTGGATTGACTTGTGATTGTCTTGAGTGCTGTTAGTTCTCACACTTACGAGAATACAAAAGATGTTACAGGCAAGAACGTGCTTCTATCTGCATACGGCCCGCCGGCTACTCCAGATTCCATGGGCAATGGTATGATGTCTGGTGAGGTGTTGGATGAAAATGGATTATTTCAGCGTAATACAGGATGGCCACCTGCATCGTCTCAGCGCACCTTCACCAAGGTCTAGGATTCATATGCCTATCCTAAATTCTGCACTGTAGACATCTTTCATTGCAACTGGAACTTCTTTTATTTTCACCGTTGTTTCTTCTATTCTTATCGGCTTTGTGCGTTGTGGGTGTGTACGTGGGTAAATTTTGACTTAGTTCTGTATGCTCAGGTGCACAAGCTTGGATCAGTTGGGAGATCTTTGGATGTTAGGATCTTCAATACTTACGCAGAACTTAGGAAGGAACTGGCTAAGATGTTTCATTTGGATTGCTTGATGGAAGATCCTCCCACATCAGGATGGCAAATCGTGTTTGTCGACAATGAAAATGACACACTTCTTTTAGGCGATGATCCATGGGAGTAAGTAATCAACAACGATAATGATGTTTATTTTGTTGTGATTGTCTCGCTCTCTTTTATCAACAGTGGTATTTGCTCTGATCAGCTAATGCTTCTTCCAATTTTCGAGCTATTTATACCTTTTTTTCTATTCTCCAGGGAGCTCTTTGACCTTGATAAAGCATGTCATACTGTAACATCTAGAGTATGCTCTGATAAGAATTCCTTAACTTTCACATGATGTGTTGAGCCCCTGGGTGGTCTCAAATGTACCTTTTGAAACTTTATATCTTACTGACGTGAGGCATTTTCCTACCTGCAGAGATTTCTTGAACTGCGTACGTTCGATCAAAATTCTCTCGCCGTCAGAAGTGACACAGATTAGTCAGGATCAGCTGAAGATGCTGGAGACAGTCCCAGTGCAACACTTGCAGCCACAAAGATTAATCAGTAGCGACTCCGGCGAGGTGTACCCTCAAAGTTCCCTTCCTGATCCTTCAAGTGGGCTTTAGACCACTGAGTCGCAGCCCAAGAGAAAAGAGAAGCAACTTCCTACGATATATTTAGCTTGCATAACTGGGAAGTTAGTTTGGTTCCTCAATTCCATGCACGAAGATTCGCCAATTTGGTCTCAAGATTATGCCATGATTTACATTCTGGCACTGGACGTGCAGGAACATGACGATTTGTAACTACTGCTAAAGCCAAATCTAAACAACCTCGAACAATATCACAACCTGTTCTATGTAACCCTTAACAGTTGGTGCGATTCCCAGTCAGAGAAGATGAAACACAAGTTGTAGTAATATCACAAATCCTCATTTTTGTGCAATCCTATCAGCAACACATTGTACTGTTCACAGTAAAAGACGAGGAAAGACTACCATTCCTCGTAACGACGGTGCACGGGGAGCTCGTGTACTCAAACTTGCGCTAACAGTCTCCTATATTTGCTTGCCAATGTGTTTTTCCAGAATCCTCTACTAATTGAATGAAATCGGGCGCTTGAGAATAATATATTTGCGAAATTCGTGTACATTCCATCCCTCGTACAGAGATCTTTCATTTGTTTGATACTGCAAAGACTTATGTACTGCCGACCAGTAGGAGGTTCTTTCTGGTCTGCCTCCATGCTTTGCACACACACTTCAACTACACTGGAGATCCATCTGTTTGAGAGTCGCTTCTACAACCATTCATCTCACTTCTTCTTAAACAAAGTTAAATGGTGCACACACAACAAACAAGAGAAAGAGCCCGATTCACAAAATTGCAAACTGTGAGGAGGCCGACCTATTCTCGACCACCTCCCATTTCCAACCTATAGGGTTGTGAATTTTGGATCAACTTGACATGATAATATTAAGAAGTTCTGACACCTTGTAGTTTCACATTATTTAATTCACATTTTTCCTCAATTCCATGGCATCATAGGATAACATATTAAGAATTTCATGCCAAGTCAGAAAATTTGTTGGGAAATTAAGCATTCTTGATTTTGTAACCAACCACTAGTCGGAATTAGATTGGCTTGTATATTGAATTTGAGTTGAAGAGAATCTTCAACTAGAACATTAATACATATGTATTTTTTGGGAAAAATTGTATGAAAACACATGGAATCCTCCTAATTTCTATTTGCCTGCATTAGGATTTATTTATTTATTTATTTTTTTGCACACTTACAAAAAATATGCTAAAATGCTTAAGTTATAGGAAATAGGTTGGCTACATTACTAGCACATTTTCTTTACACCATAAAGAAAACTTTTGTGAGTCATCTTTAGATAACATAAGAGTACCTTGTACTAGCTATGATTTATTCTATCACTAACAAGAACAGTGATAAGCTACTATCCTTGAAACCAGATAGGGCTTTAATATTGCTTTCAGTTGTTTTTTGCTAATCTATTTTTTTAGTCTTAAACTGTTCATGAAATGTCAAGAGATTATGTTTTCTTCAAATTTGACATCTGCAAAAAATTCCAACAATATATAATGTAACATAATCTGGATTTAATCTCACCCTATCCATGCAAAATCACTTAAAAATAATGGAAATAGATACAGTGACATTCAGTGACATTAGTATCAATCACAGACTTGCTTGCTGAGTAGGCTGGAGATACCTGATGTTTTGACCAAAAATTGTATTGACGTATGGTATAAATGTCTACAAGTCAGCTTAGAAGAAAACAATACTATCATCACCCACTCCCAGACTCAGTTCATCAAAGACTAATAAAGTTTGCACGTAACCCAAGCAGGCCACGTCCAAGTGACATCATACTAGAATAATATGGTCTGCAATTCTATAACAAATATACCAAAAGTCTCACACCTACACCAGTTGCTGTTACTGTTGTCACAAATCCATGCACCCAATGATATCTGTTTGAATGATTCCACAATAATAGTCAAAACAAAGTTAGAATATTGTCATTCTAAACTGTGATAAGTAACATGTGAAGTAACAACAAAAGAAGGATGGGAAGTCATCAGCCATCTGCCACAAAGGTCACAAAGAAGAATGAGGTTGAATTCTGATCACTAAACATTGATATTCCTTTTTGTGCATTGGAAAATATTTCCTTTACTTTCTTCATGCATTTGACTCCAGAAGCCAGCATGCTGCAATACAGTTTGTTGAGAACAGTGATAAAAAGCAAATGTTTCTGAAGATAGTATTTAGTTCTTGTTAACTACAGCAGCTTTTTTTTGGATTTGGAAGAGATGCAAAAAAACAAAACTGTCAATATGGGCACACAATGTTTTTGGGAGTCAATTTCAAAGCCGCACACCAGCAAGTCTAACAGTTGTTATATATGCATATTTTTAGTTGCAAAGGTCCCAAAAGTGAGTCCATTCTGAGTCATGACCATATCCAAACTCATTTCCAACTTCTAATTTTGTGAGTGCACATGCTGGGTCCCCACATACCAACAAAGACTACATTGCTAAGACATAAATAATAACTAACAAATGCTTGTCCTTCATGCAGACATGGTGTATTTGTTTATTTACTTATTTTCTTAATCAAATCAATAGTACATAAAATAATGTGTAAATCAAACCCAAGTGAAGGTACATGCATTTTTTTTTCCGTTGTATCTTCAAATGCTATTAGTGCCTCCAACATTTTTTTGGAGGAACTAAAGCCAAATCCTTACCAAGATATTTGGTTTGTGCCATTGCTTTGCTAGCTCGTTAAATAGTGTGAATGTCCAAGGTAGGTAACTTGTTTTAGGTTGTACTTACTAAGGTGATGCTCACCTTCATTTGTTCTTCTTTGTGGATTACAAACCTAAATTTGTGTAAAATAATTAAGATAAATATAATAATTTTAAATGATACATAAATAAATAAATAAATAAATAATATAAATAAATAAATAAATAAATATATATATATATATATATATAGGGATTTGTGCATGTGCAATGGACTCTGATTATGGCAATTTTTTTTCATTAAGATTAAATAGAGAGAAGAAGAGTTATTTTTTTGAAGTCATGTTGTGAAGCTTTTCTTTGATCTTAATTGTATTTGTATTTGAATTTGTCTTGAATGGTCTTTAATGGTTATGCTTGTACTTTCTAAATTTTTTTGTTCAATAATCTTTTATTCTAAGCTTGTTCATCTTTAAATTTATTTGTTCAAAATTTGTTTATTTCAATGATGTTGGTTAAAAAACATTTGTCCTATTTTTTCTTGTAGTGTTAGATTTCAATTATCTCCACCAGACCCTTACTCCTCTTTTAGCTTGTTTGACTTTTCTCAATTCCTACGTTATGCTTGATACTTTTTAGCCCATATAGGTATTGTTTTTTAGTTCTTCTAAATTTAAATTCTCCATTAAATCTTAACAGTTGTGGCTAACTTCTATTAATTAAGTAATCTTTTGGCCCAACCAATAATCTGTCTACCTTTTTGTTGTTGAATGTTGCATGTTTGTTGTTATTTTTGTTGTATTTATTTTTGTCTGTTTCTTTAAAAATTACTTTGTATAATATAAAAATATTGAAAACTTAGTAGCTTTTTTTTTATATTTCTATTTATATAATTGCATTTTTAGACTATTCAATGAAATCTTATTTGAAATTATAAAGAATAAACATTGGAATAGATAAACTGTTAACTATTAATCTAAAAAACCAAGGTTTTCTATTAAACAATTCAATAATTTTTTAGAACTAATATTAATTTACTTTGTATACAAAACTGGTGGGCATTGAGGTTTTTTGTTCAACTTAGGTAATTGTAATTGATTTTTAAAGATAATTTTATTAAAAAGGGACTTGTTTTCTACTGACACATCTTTGTATCAAATTATATATTAAAACCATGCCATCTATAAATAAATAAAAACTACTTAGAAATATACTCAAGTTTACATGTATGGGATAGTCCTTAATCAAGAATTTGACACATACAAATAATAAAAAAGCAGAAAATTACATATATATATATATATATATATATATGCAAGTTAAATACAACAAATGTTGATTATAAATAGAGCTTTTATAAGATGTGTTCCATTGAAGAAAAAATATAATCTGAGATAGGCGATGTAGATTTTTATTTTATTTATTTTATATATTAATGAATATAAATATTCTTAAATATAAATTAAAATATCAATATCATATAATATAAGTTTTTTTAATTTTTAAACTGCATAATTATCATGCATTACTGTTTAATATATATATATATATATATATATGCATAATTTTATGAGTTGATTTAAAAATTATATGTATTTTTTTAGTAATAAATTAATTATTTCTTTAATTTATAACTCATGAATACATATTTAGTATTGAATCATTAAATTATTTTATAATTTATGTACTTTGAAAGAAAAATATTAAAATATTTTTAAAAATTAGTTTAAATTTTATTTAAAATCTTTAATTGAATATTTTTTAAAATATTATTAATTAAATAAGTAACATTTTAGAGAGTATGTATTGTTTATTTATGTAAAATAACTCTAAGGTCAAATGAACTTATAGTCTTTAATCTCATTGGAGAAAACCTCAAAATAATATGATCAAATACTAAAAAAAAAATAAACCAAGTAAAGCATTATTTATATCTATGCTTGTCATTTTAAAATTCAAATTCCATTATTAGTTCTTTAAGGCCTAAAATTTTAAATAAAATATTAATACCTTACATTATACTAATTTTTTTAGAATACTTTAAGTACATTAATAAGAAACAATGAACAAAAAAAATAGAAATAAAATCACTACACATCAAAATATTATATATATATATATATATATATATATATATATATATAATGTTTACAATGTAATTTCTTTGCCACACATTTATTTTATAAAACTTATAAATTCTTGAATCGCTATAAGTAACTCACTGAATAATGATAATTTAATTCTATAACTTACAATAGAGATGAAGGAATATTGAATACATGTATAAATTTAAAATAAATTTCAAAATTTTAAAATTTTTGAAATTTCAGAATGGGTTGTTATTTATATCTCTTTCACAAAAATTTGAAACAACTACTAAATAAATTCATACTAAAGCTCTTTTTTGTTTTTTAAGGTATTTATTAACTTTATATTTTGAGTTTCATAAATTTAATATTATAATTAATTAATTTAAAGAATTATTATTTCTAAATTTAGATTAAAAATTACACAAATTTTTAACTATGTTATTTTTTTATTCTTCTTATTTGTGAAAAAATATTTTAAAATAACTCATGTCTACAATAGTATGGTTTTTAACTAAAACTAATATATATATTTTAAATAAAATTATTATTTATCTTTAATATTTAATTAAAATTGATGTATTTACATAAACTAGACTTTAATTTTATAGGTGATAGAAAAATTTACCAACTCACAAAATAAAGTTTCAAAGAAATTATGTTTATTAACAAGTTTGTTATATGTGTACTAAGTGGACTAGTCAAGCTTATCAATTTCATTAAAATAATGTTTGGTTGCTATTAGTGACTCTCTCTAAAGCATGGTTACAAAGTTCTTATATGTAATGTTTAGGAAAAAGACCAATAGTAGTTACATCTTATAATTAAAAATATTTGTAAGAAATTTAGTGTAAGCAAAATAAAATAAAGTTGGAGGCTCATACAATAAACTTTAGATACAAGCATATATCTCACGTAATGTTCAAACACAACCTTAATGTTTTCTAATTTCTTTTATAAAAAATATTGATTTATATTATTGTATCAATATTAGAATTTTTTTGTTGATTATTTTTTCTACTTAAATTGTAACTCTAATTAGTTATTTTGATGTTATTTGGACAATTAGAAATAGTGAAGGTAGAAGTGGACTAAAACCAACATATTGCACTCAATAATATTTTTGGTTCAAACATATTAAATGGGCTAATTGTTATAAAGTATCACTTTAAAACATACATATAGGATATTTGATTATTTTTTCAATGTGATCCTTAGTGTTTATTAAATATAGATTTATTTTGCATCTTTCAGTTTTGATTTATAGTTGCTCATTTTTATTTTTACAATTGGATTAATATATTTATATAAATACTATCAAATTTATAGTCAACATTATTTTCCTTAATTACTTGTAGGTAGCAATTTGGACTACACAACAAACTTAGGTATTGTTTCTTTAACATTATCCACATTTTTTTACAAACTATCTTTAATGTTGTTGATAGACAAATATTTTGTGTTTTCATTTAGGACTACTTATTTATAATATAATCAAAGTAATAAAGTTTTTTTTTTTTTTTTTTTTTTTTTTTTGATACAAAAAGATGTTAAATCTCTATATTAGAATATACCAAGCAAGATTTAAACTCAAAAATTTAGCTCCAAACTATCAACCTTAAGCAATACCTTTTAGTGTAATTTTCCATTATTTGGTAATTTAAAGTGATATCTTACTTATTTTCTTAATAACATAATATTTGATGATGAGATTAGACACAAGAAAATTTTTTTAGTAGAAGAAACCTATCTAATTAGATACCATGTATTAATTATATTATTTCCATATACAATTATTTTTATAAACTTAAAACAACCATTTAGACTGTTGCATACAAGTACAAACCAATTGAAGACTCTAACCTCAAGCTCAGCTATGATTCAAATTTTTACCTTCAAATAAGTTTGTTTTGAGGATGTTTAATGTATTACTCCTCAACCATGTTTGTTGTTTAGAAACTTGGGTCACATACACTTGTCCACATCAAACCATGCCTTGTTTATACCAGATAACTTCTTATTTTTTCCTCTTTATTTTTATATAATTAAAGTAATACCACACTAAATGTCAAGTGCTGCAGGTAGGGAAGAAGAATGCTGGCGCCAAGTCAGCACCACAGAAATGAAAACTTCGACCAACTCTCGGTGTGCCTCTATACGAAGTAAAAATTGGGGCCCTATAATTCGGATTGAAAACGAGATGGGATTTGTGCTGATCCTCATTGGTGCTCCTCCGTTCCAACTTTTGATGCCACCATTCCAATTTGATTTATCAAACCACCTTTCTCAGTTGTCAAAACTGCTTCTTTTTGTTTGTGTTCTTCACAAACATCACATTCTTCAGTATACCCAGAAGTAAAACCCACTGTTGGGCTCTCTAACTCTCTCTCCATAGACTATCTTCAGAAACCTTGCAACCATTCCGTTTTGTAGAAGTCTGATGGAGCTGGTGGACAGTCATTCAAATGTTTGCACAACATGTGTAAAATTTGTATCCTGAATTGAATTATACAGAGAACCTGCTATGGCAGTGGTATATACACTTCGTCTGGGCTAGTCCTAGATCCAATGTTTGGTTGATTATTAATATTGTGATTCCTATGAGGCACTAGTAATGTTGGTTGTTGTTTAATCTCTGGCTATGGAGTATGTGCGCAAACGTGCAGGTAGACAGGCCACAGGCTATGAAGATAGCACAGGTGAAGTTTCATGGAAGTAATCTCCGGAATGCGGCAGCCTGCTTCGACTGAGTAGGCGGCGAGAACTTACAGAAGCACGAGAATTGGGAGAGACAAGGCTAGCCAGCAAAGAAGAATTTAGGTCATCGGAGGTTGTAGCGTGCTGTGTTGTTGTCGTCGTTGTTGCGATATAATGGTGATGATGATCATGGTGTGCTGTGCTGGGGTTTTCGTCGATGTCAATGGCAACTTGGAATGGTGCTAATTGGAACGAGGTGTTCACCACGTTGGAGAATCGGGCATCACCGCTCCAATGTTGTGACTGAGTACCCCAGAATAACACGTTGGCTGGAATTGAATCTGCTCTCTTCGCTGTCTCCTGTTGTTGTTGAGCTGATTGCAATGGTTGTTGAGATTTAGGCAATGGTTCCGTTCTCGTGTGCTGCTCCGCATCCTGCTCCGGTTGTGATTGTTGCGGAAGAATGGTTTGCTCGGGTTGAACCCTACCTCGGAATCTTCTGGAAAGATCAGTTGAGTCCGAATGCAAACAAGACTGAGCGCTCGCCGATTCTGAATTCGTAGACGATTTCTCGTTGGTGCTCTCCAACACAGCCCTGCATAGAGGACACGTCGAACTAGAATACAACCATATGTCGATGCAGTTTAGGTGGAAGCTGTGGCCGCACTTGGGCAGCGTGCGACCCATTTCTCCATTCTCGAAATCTCGTAGACAGATCACGCAATCTATGACTCCAATTTCGGCTGACTCTACACGGCTTCGATCTGTCTGGTACCTGAAAGTCGGAAGCGCTTCCACCGCCGACTTGTCTAGCCCCACAATCACACTCACTTCCATCATATCACCGTCTGTTTCATCGAGACCAGAGCTCCTGTCGCGTCGCCACGCAGGCCAGAACGAGTATGATCCTAGGGCACCGCTGTGGCGACTCGCGGATGTCTCAACTGAAACCCATTTCGTGTACAGATGCAAGAAAGTCAAGAAGAGGATGACAACGAAGAGGACGCCGAACGTCGCCAGCAAGATTTTACTCGTAACGATGAACTTGTCGCCATCTAGGTGTTCCGTTTGGTATGTGCTCGTGGATCGTGCAGTGTGACGCTCCGTGAACGAATTCATCGTGCGGAAGAGCTATTGGGCACACGGTGAATTCAGTCTCGACTTGAGACCTAGCAGAGAAATCTTATGCGGCAGCGTTGCAATCCGAAGCACATCAACGTCGACTTCCACTACGTGTTGGAGAATTAGGGTGTCACGTCATCATTCAAATTCCTCGATAGAATCCAATTACTAGGACGTGTCCATCTCAGGGCACAAAAACCCTTGTCACTAATTGCCCAAGGTCGATTTACAGCAACTCCAATTTCGTCAGAAAACGTCGAACCTCCCCTGAATTCTACTCCGGATACTTTCTCTCCTCTTCAGCGCTTAAGGTCTCAATTGCCATGACAAACTCAAAACTGTCACTTCTCTCATCGATCTATGCATCCAACCACGGCATGCCATAGAACTCGCTGCCTCACCGACAGAACTGTGCGACGAATGTGGATTCTGGATAGCGCCAGCTTCTTCTGCACCGGACACGGATACTAACGTACGCAACGCAACATGCTACTTGCAGAGGATTTATCAGGCGCATCCGGAACCCTTCTCGCCGATAACCAGGTGTCGAGAAAGCACGACAGGCGGCTTGCTTGAAAGAAAAAGTCACCGAACGATTCGGTTGACTCACGTCGTGGACCAACGATTGACGGCATTGCTGAGCTCAACTTTGTCGTCTGCAGGTGAGCAAAAGATCGCCACTTGCACGTGGCAAGCGGTGAATGGTTGTAGTGTCTGATAAATATATGGATAAGGAAAGGTCGTCAGTGGGCGGTCAAAGTTTCTACTCCGTGGTGGCCTTGTGTGCGTGTAAAGACTTCCTGCGACATGAGCCAATGAATCCGACGAATGCTCTCCGCAAGGACAAGCATTTCTAAAGCTCGAAACAAAAGTTAAGTCGCAGTAAATCTGAGAAGTTACATAGATGGAGTTAAGCAACTTAAACACAGGTTTTGTTCTAGTTTTTTCTGGCATGAGATTCTGTTTTTTCTCTGATTTGCGTAATCTAGAATTTCGATCTGTGGGTTTGGAGTTTCGCTTGCACGCTTTGAAGCAGTGAGCAATCTTGACTACTCACGAAGATGCTCATTCCAAATGGGTCCCGAACAAAAGATGGCAAGGACTGCCACACGGCTGCAGCGTCTTCACTCCTGGGTGAACAAATTTGCCTGCAGGGTAGAGGATCGATGACTTTTGTGGAGCCTGGTTGGTCACAATCGGATCACGAGTTGATTGGTTTGACATCTTTGTACATCTATACTGACTGTGAAAGAAGAAAGAGAATCAAAGAAGAGATCAAAAGATTAAAGAAATGCTTGGAAAGATCGATCGCCCAGCGGTATTAATGATAATCCCTTTGCAGAATGTAGTACCTTGCCACCAACCCTAAAAATGGAATCGATGATCACTAGGCTAGCTCCGAATCACTTCCACAACTTGTGCATCATGATTCGCACGGAGATGAATCCGCCCAAGAGGAAACAGTTTCGCCACTGCGGGTGATAGTGGGTGGCCAAGTTGACCTGCGCAAAATCTGTGAACTATCAGTACACAAAGTGACGGTTTCCTTCTCACCCACAATAGTTGACGCCCCGGCCAGTCTTCCAGATTTGCAGAGAGCTGCAACCGAACGCGAACTAATCAAACGGTATGCAAAACAACATTCAGATCTAGAGGTTGATTAGGATCATAGATTGTTATACATGACAAGTATGTTTAGCTAGTAATGTAGTAGCTACATCTTATGATAATTTCGTAGTATGAACGGCAAGGCATGCTAGAAACACTAGATAGCCATTGTAACTCACAACGAGAGGTCCAATGTTCTAGGTTTCTGGTGATACGAACAGTCGAACAATCAAGATGATGCAAAACGCCATATGCACTAGGACAACATATGCCATAAAACTTAAGGAAAATGATAAGACTTCGACAGCGAAACAAGCCTAGGGTCCAAGGATTGTTTCGACAAGCTCCGCCTCACGATCTAGCTAGCGACGCTGATTAACAATCCGAGCCTGAAAGACTAGTCTGAGACTAGTGGGAGCAACCTTGAAGACGCAGATTCAGAAGCGTCGTGATTTGCAACTCAGAAGATGAAATAGAGAATTCATGTCTGACTCATGTTTTGCTATGAAGCGAAGCTATTAGCCAAGTAGGATACAACTAGAATGTGGGTTTTTGGAATCAGTTTTGGTTATGGCGTCATCTCATCACTAGGTCATCAAAGTGCATGATTAGAGTCACTGACAAGCGTATAGTTCACAAACCAGGGAGGCAATCTGTTGTGTAGTATTCTTCAAATGCACCCACAAACAAAGAAACCCTAAAAATCGTGTTTTGAGGAATGAAATACAAGCTTAGTGCGAAAGGTGGTGATCTTTGAGGGTTACCAGGTTTTCATATAGGCTTGCTGGAGAATCAATGACGCCGTTTGGCCTGCCCATCAAATTATCTTTTTAAAAATGAAACAAAAAATTTCATAGCAAAGTGGATGAATCTTACTTCATTTTAATATCTGAACCGGTTTCAATACAAACCAAACTTTTGCTCTGGAATATAGACTTGTGATGTCCATTTTTATTTTTTATTTTTTTATTATTCTATCTATTATTATATCATCAAGGTCCTATATTAATATTATATTTATTATTATAATTATTTTGTTTCAGTAATAATAATCTTTTTTCAATATGTTGATGTTACAACGAGTCTTAGAAACCATTAAATGTTATAAATAAGAAAACCATATTTTTAGTTTTTTCAAACTCTTTTCACAATGAATGATTTGTGAAAATTAGTGAAACTTTATTAAATAATTTTGAATCGTTTATTATGATTGTTTAAATTTCAACAAATGTTTTTGAGTTTTTTGAAATTTTGAAAGTACGTTTACATATTCTTACATATTTTTAAAAGCACAAAGGAATGTACTGTTTGAAATTATCTTTGAAATAACATGTGGTTCGATATAATATAATAAAATCAAATAAAAGGGCGCATTCTACATAGGTATTTCAAATTGCTGTATCGCATTTCAAAAAGTAACAATAGCTTTTAGATTACTTTTACTTTTACTTTATATTTTTCCTCCCTTTCAATCCTGCTCACCTCGCCTTATGCTCCTGATGATATTCAGGACGCTTTCGGCTTCGTAGGGTTTCGGTGACCAGATTTCGTCCTCAAAGAAAAATATTGAAAAAAAAAGAAAAAAAAAAAGAGAGAGGATGCGAAAATAAATTTCACATATCTTGGAGAATTCTCCGAGAACCAACACCATTTTAATGAAGGATATGTTGTGGCAGATGGCGTTTCAGGTCTGCCGACGTCGAGTTGTGTCGAAACTTACTCGCTAATTTCTTGGCAGGAATTAGCATGAACTTTGAAGCTGAAGGAATCGCGCTCGTCAGGAGCTGCTCCGTGGAGCATGGGCAATTCTCGGTGATAATCGAACCATCAACTTGTTGGAGGCAATGACCAGCTGCAGCCGACTCATTTGTGAGGAGACACGGGCCAGTGCGGGACCTCGTGTCACAACATGACAATTGGAATCGGCGCACAAAACCATGTGAAGTAGAAGGGACTAAAATACAGAATTCTCGTGTCTCAATGATGCAAAGCATCGCATGAGTGTGGAAATTACTGAGTGCGAGAAAATCATTGCGTAGATTAGTCTGTGAAGGAAACATTCACGCAATCTGAACATTGGGAAGCTTAGTCGGAGTTAGCAATTTGAGATGCAGTTTCAGGCTTCTTCATCTGTTTTCTTTTCGGTGTAGGACTATTGATTTAATCAATGGCAGGGCAATTGATTAGCAGGCGAAGAATTGTAAGCACTTTTCATTTCGCCGAACCATTCCAGCCACCTCAAGTCAAGCTCGGTAAATGTGAATTACCACAAGCACCTAGAGAACAATTATCCTCGCTGCGTAATAATCTCCAAGTCGAATGTTCCCATAGCATTGACAACGAAGCGGAAGTGAAGAGAGGAATTGCAATCTTTATTTGACTAGTGGGAGGACGCCTATCTCTCCGCAAATTTATCGATACATATGATGCATTTAAGATTACAAGGCCTCAGCATGCTTTATCTGCTACGCTCGAGGAGGTACAACATAATGCATTTTCAGCGACAACGCCAACATCACTTTGAAAGCCAGCATTTACTCCGGGAATACGAGTTGATCCGCATTGCAGAAGTTTTTTCTTCTCTTTCAGCTCCAGATGATAAGTTCCGAGAATTGCACCAATTCCACGTCCGTGTCTGCATGCACCTGACCAGCTGCTGAGCTGCATGTTACCACGACTGCAGTAGAGCGATAACCTCAAAGTCATCAAGGGGTATGTAGTGCAGCGACTGACATTGCGTGAGAAGCAATTGGAACCCGATCGAGCAAGCCACGCCCGTAGCAACGAACCGGTTTTGAGAGCTTCTATAGCAGCGAGAAATCAGCGGAACGACAGTGGTCCACATGATCGAATGTGCTTTAACTAAACAGAGTCCCGACTGTAAGAAACAAAACACCGAAGGGGATCAAACTCAGCAAATTGAGAAACGGCTGCTCTACTCGCATTCCCTTGCCTGCCGTAACAGTCTCCTCAACAACTAACCTTTTCACAACACCTAGGAGCACGACATCGTGAGCAGAGACTTCACGACGGATTTCCCGACAAAACGGGGCAGAAAGAATGCCAGATGAGAGAGCTCAAGGCTCAGAACTCCGAGATTCGGATGACGCCGGAGAGCGATTCGACACACATCTCTTTCAGTAACCCCGCTGCACAAGTCCATGAGGAGCATGTTATCAATGTGGAGGATTGACAACGAAGGCGAATGCGGGGCCATCGCCGAGACATGACTCAGCCCTGGGGAGATGACAGTGCAAGTGCAGCGCTCAAGCTTCGATCACGCCAGCTGCATGGGGTGTGACCACCACAGCTAGCTTCATCGGTACGACCGCCTCTCCAGTTCCAAAGGGAAATTAGAATCTTACGAGGGCCTTAAAAATAGGAGGACTATGTCGAATCCTCGCATGGAGTACAGACACAAACACTCTGTTCCTCATCGCCATGGCTGCTAATGAGCTAGTCGCAGTTTTTCTCACTCTTCTCACTCCGTCACTGGATCGGCAAAGGACCATCGCCTTGAGTGCACAGTGAAAATGTCCTCTCCATTTAAATTGGCTTTTTTTTTTTTTTTTTTTTTTTTGTGCTCCTGAAAACCCCAATGACATGTAATATAAAATTTTAGTACTTCAGTTCATGGTTGGTTGAAACTCTTGAATAATATATATATATATATATATATATATATATATATATTGTAATGGACAAAACTAATTGAGGTGATTTACAGTCATGAGCATTCAGATTTTGTAGTGTATGGTAAGATTTTGTATAACTGATATAAAGGCCGTGAATTTGGCCATTTGTTTACAAATACTAAATTAGAGGTAGAGAAAACTTAATAGTACGTATTTTAAATGAAGCTTGTTGAAAGTTGGTAATAAAACAGGAATTAATTTTCATAATTTAATACTTGTAGTATGTTAGGTTGGCATTGCAC